CGATTTCATTGATTTCAGCTCTAATTTTAATTATTTCTTGCCTACTACTGCTTTTGCTGCTGATTTGTTCTCCTTTTTGTAGGGCTAACACTAGAAAAACTAGGAATAACAGGAACACATCTCAACATTGTAAAGGCTATCTATGCTAAGTCTCAGGCCAACATCATTCTAAATGAGAAAAATTGAAGCCATTCCCTGTGAAAACTGGAACAAGACAGGGATGCTCCTTTCACCACTTCTATTCAACGTAGTTCTTGAAACACTGGCCAGAGCAATTAGACAGATGAAAGAAATTAAAGGGATATGTATAGGAAAAGAAGAACTTAAATTACTACTATTTGCTGACAATATGAATCTATGCCTAGAAGATGAAAAAAGACAGAAATGTCTAAGACTAGTAAATGAATTCAGCAAAGTATCAGGATATAAAATCAAAACCCATAAGTCAAAGGCATTTCTGTATATCCGTGACAAAGCCTCTGAGAAGGAGTTGAGGAAAACTACCCCATTCACAATAACCTCAAAAAAAAAAAGATACTTGGGAATGAATTAACTTAACAAAAGAGGTGAAAGATCTATACAATAAAAACTACAGAACCCTAGAGAGAGAAATCAAGAAAAGAAGACCTCAGAAGATGGAAAGATTTACCTTGCTCATGGATAGGCAGAATTAATATTATTAAAATGACCATATTATCAAAAGCACTATACAGATTTAATGCAATTCTGATCAAAATCCCAATGGCATTCCTCACAGAAAAAGAAAAAGCAATCATGAAATTCATCTGAAAAAATAAGAGACCCAGAATAGCTAAAGCAATCCTAAGCAGGAAGAGTAAAGCAGGTGGTATCACTATACCAGATCTTAAACTATACTACAGAGTAATAGTAACAAAAACAGCATGGTATTGGCACCAAAACAGACTGATAGACCAATGGTACAGAATAGAGGACACAGAGAGTGACCCACAAAACTACAATTATCTTATATTAGGCAAAGGTGTCAAAAACATGCATTGGAGAAAAGATAGCATCTTCAACAAATGGTGCTGGGAAAACTGGAAATCCATATGCAATAAAATAAAATTAAACCCTATCTCTCACCATGCACAAAACTCAACTCAAAATGGATCAAGGACCTAGGAATTAAACCAAAGACTGCATCTAATAGAAGGAAAAGTAGGCCCTAATCTTTATCATGTGGGATTAGGCTCCAAGTTCCTTTATACGACTCCTTTAGCATAAGAATTAAAACCAAGTATCAATAAATGGGATGGATTCAAACTAAAAAGTTTTTTCTCAGCCAAAGAAAGTATCTGTGAGGTGAACAGAGAGCCCACATCATGGGAGCAAATATTTACCCCTCATACATCAGATAGAGCACTAATCTCTACAATGTATAAAGAACTCAAAAAGCTAACCACCAAAAAAAAAAAAAAAAAAAAAAACAAATAACCCAACCAACGAATGGGCCCAGGACCTGAACAGACACTTCTCAGAAGAGAATATACAATCAATCAACAAATATACAAAAAAAAAATGCTCATCATCTCTAGCAATCAGAGAATTGCAAATCAAAACTAAGATATCATCTCACTTCAGTCAGAATGGCAGCAATTATGAAGACAAACAACAATAAGTGTTGGCGAGGATTTGGGGAAAAAGGTACACTTATACATTGTTGGTGGGACTACAAATTGGTGCAGCCAATATGGAATTCAGTATGGATTTTCCTTAGAAATCTGTGAATGGAACCACCATTTGACCCAGCTATTCCTCTCCTCATTCTATACCCAAAGGATTTAAAGTCAGCATACTACGGGGACACAGTCACATCAATGTTTATAGTAGCACAATTCACAATAGCTAATCTGTGGGGCCAACCTAGATGCCCTTCAGTGGATGAATGGATAAAAAAATGTGGCATCTATATACAATGGAATATTACTCAGCAATAATAGAGAATAAAATCATGGCATTTGCAGGTAGATGGATGGCATTGGAGAAGATAATTCTAAGTGAAGTTAGCCAATCCCAAAAAAACAAATTTTTATGTTTTCTCTGATATAAGGAGGCTGACTCATAGTGGGGTAGGGAGGGGAAGCATTGGAGAAATAGATGAATTCTAGATAGCACAGAGGGGTGGGAGGGAAAGGGATGGAGCACGGGATTAGCAAGGATGGTGAAATGTGATGGACATCGTTATCCAAAGTACATGTATGAAGACACAAATTGGTGTCAACATACTTTATATACAACCAGAGATATGAAAAATTGTGCTGTATGTGTGTGATAAGAATTGTAATGCATTCCACTGTCATTTATTTTTTAAAAAATAAAAATAAAATAAAAAATAAATTTAAATTAAAAAATAAAAATAAAAATATTGATCCTAAAATGGGAAAAGGACTTGACTAGGCATTTCCCCCAAAGACATATAAATGGCCA